TCCCTCAAGCATGTGAGTACCAAATCTCACTTTCTGCTCGTCACTGCATCCGATGGTCCTGAAGATCTTCTCTACCGCCTTCAGCCATTTCTGTGCAGCTACCGGATCCAGAATCCCACCTTCAAACTTTGGTGGCTTGTTGCTCTGGAACTGCATCAAGTCTCTGAACTAAGCACCCGCAGCCAGATTCTGATTGACCACCACTTGAGCCATAGCCTGCATAGCCGCAGCCAACGCCGCGTCATTCCTCCCAGCCATACTGCTCAACAACAACAACAGGTTAACAGAGAACAACCAACTCTATCCTATAGACAGACTCAAAACACTACACTGGCCGGACGGACCGACCTGCTCTGATACCAACTTGTAACACTCCGTTTCCCGAAATAAAATAAAACAATTAAATAAGCACACATCAGAGTTTCTCTCCCAAACGGGATGCCACAATTTCCAACAATTTCCATAAATCATTTTTCCAAATTAATTTCTCAATAAAACTGCAGCGGAAAAAAATATATACATAGTCTGTCATAATTCACAAAACATCATATATAGGTTATCCATATCCACCATCCTCGTCATATATATATATATATAAAACAATCGGCCAACTGCCTAAAATATATAACATGATCATCAAACATCATCACACGTCTCACAAAAGTCAGATACGCCACAGGGGCACACATATCATCAATAAAAATAAGACTCCCCAAAAGCCCCAGTGTTACATATCAGAGCAGTCCTACGACGACGCCACAATCCAAGCTAGCTAAACACCTGAATTGTCTGTACTTCGAAGAAGCACAGACCACAACAACAACAAAAGGGTGAGAATCACAATCAAATATTAACGGTATCAACGTACATGAAATAAAAGGCAGAAACAATAACTTAATTATTTCATATATCTCACACCCGGACCTACTGTCCCATCAACAACAATCACACACACATAACCGCAATGCAACACATACACTCGACTCGACAATATCCGGTACCGACTCAACTCAGGATAGATCGCATACACTCCCTCTGAGCAACGATATATCCCTACCACGCTCCTCATGAGCTCATATAATCACATATCAACGTTCCCCACTTGGGACACGGGTGGTCGCATACACTCCTTCCGAGCAACGATCCAAATTCCCGTCCACGATCCCCACTAGAGCACGTGAGTCACACAGGCCTCACGTCCACACGCTCCCCATTTGGAGCACGTGAGCCACACAGGCCTCACGTCCACACGCTCCCCATTTGGAGCACGTGAGTGAATCGCATACGCTCCACCGAGCAACGATTCACCACGTCCACATACCATGCAAGACGCTATGCATAACCACACGACATACACAGTGCACACGATCCTACGAATCCATTCATCATAATATGCATACATACACAAGCACACAAAGTTCATCGATCCTACCGATCAACTCACCACACAACATATCACACATCGTGCACCTAAGGCATATCGGTCCTACTGACCCAATCCATCACACAAAAGTATTTAACCACAACGCCTATAAAGCGTATCGATCCTCCAGGATCCTCTCCCACAACACACCAACAAAACGCACTCAAGGCGCCACGATCATACTGATCCTCACATCTTACTAACAGCACGCATACGGTGCACATATCTCACGTACGCATCCATATTGGTCCATACACAATGCGTATTTCACCAATTAGGCCACTTGCGATAAGCACCGGCTAAATAGCCTTACAACCACCAACATATGCTCGTATCAGCTCCCCAACCAACCTCTCGTCACACATGACCAACGAGAGTCCAAGTCCACAACGAAACAATACAAAAACAGCAGCAGAATCACATACTGTTGTCGGGCTCGCTGGCATATTTGCCCGGCGAAGCCCCGCAGCGAAGGCTCGCTGCCATTCGCCTGGCGAAGCCAAACAGAAGCTTCTGCCAGCACTCGCTGGCTAGTTCTCCCGACGAAGCTTGGCGAAGGCTCGCCCCCATTCGCCCAGCGAATACCTGCGCACGCAGAAAAATTATGCATTTGCAGAATCATCTCCCTCACCGATTTCGCCCGATTAAATCAATACCCACCACCATCCACATATGGCAACTTAGCTACGGGGTCTATCCCCGATTCTATCCGACTAATCCTCAACTCTGCTCTCAAAACCAACTTCCGACTCAACTTCGGACTTAACCGAAAATCCTAAAACTCATTCAACAACCATCAAATTCAACATGCATTACTTCTCCCATAATACCAAGGATTCCTAACAGAAATTAGCAACTAGCAACAACAACAAAATCATCATCCACATGCAATAATCTCATACTTGGGGTTAGGGATTCCCCTTCTACCAATATTTATGTAAATACCTATTTTAACCGTTAAATCCCCCCTTACCTCAAATGAAGTTCTGATAATGAAGAATCTGCAATTCCAACAGCTTTGATCGTCTTTCCTTCCAAGCTTGCTCACTTTGATCGTTCTTCCTCTCTACCGTGTTTTCTCCTCTTTCTCGTGTTCTTCCCTTGTTCTCTTTTTTCCAATGCCAATTCTGCCCCTCATCCCAAATAATTCCTTATTTTAATTCCAAAACTAATAATCTTATTTTCTTAATTTCCAAAAATTAATATTATCACTTTATAATACCAATATTAACATTAATAACAATAATAATAATAATACTAATATCAACATTAATATTAATTATTATTTATTATCATTATCAATTATCCAATATTAATATTATGCCTTTATTTCTTCACCAATTCCCACACCAAAACACGTTGACGAATAAAATAACACCGGAACTAAAAATAATAAAAATGGGCGTTACAAGAATGTCCTTGTATCTGAAACTCCAGAAGTAAGGTCTAGTTCTGGGTTGGGAAGGAGGAGTTTTGAGATGTTTTTAGAAACTGTTGTTGATAATACTAATTCAAAATCTGATCTTGAATTATATCTTGAGGAGTCTCCCTTGAAAGTTCCCCCTAAAGTTAAGTTTGATGTTTTGACATGGTGGATGGGGAATAAAGTCAAGTATCCTGTTCTTAGTAAAATGACAAAGGATATTCTAACTGTTCCAGTTAAAATTGTTGCTTCAGAAGCAACTTTTAGTGCTGGTAAAAGGGTTATTGATTTGAAACGATCTTCTATGAAAACTAAGACTGTTGAAATGGTACTTTGTGGGGGTGATTGGGTGAAGGAGAGGTATGAAATTTAAAAGGGTTGCACTGCTAGTATTGTAAGTAACTTTTGCTTATGAACTATTTTAATTCAATATTTATATGGCGTTTGCTTATTTATTCTTTTACTTTTGTAGCTTGAAGAACCACAAGATGAACCTTTAACATATCATTTTGTTGAGGATTCGGCTGTCGCTTCTTCAACAATAGCAACTTGAACATATATAATTTTAATACCAATGATGAGATTGTTCTGAGGCATCATTAACAAATGTAATGATATTTTGTGTTTTTCTTTGAAAACATAAGTTTCATAACTTATGTTTGAATGACGTTTAATTTTTTGAAATTAACTTCTATTTAAAAAAGATTTAATGATTATGTGAATGTAATACCAAATGCCAATATGAATCTGAAAAACTAATTTTGAAATTAATGTGAATTTAATTGTGAATATTGAAATTATTTTTTTTTTGTGAATTTAATTTAATTTTTCTGGTCCGGGTATCTGGTCCGAAAATTATCGGTCCGGTCTCGGTTCACCATTTCAAATAATTTATTATCCGGTCTGGTCTTGGTTTATTCGAAAGTATCAGATTAGTTTCGGTCAAACAAATTGATCGTACCTGATCATAAGAGATTGCTGACCGCCACGTGTCACCGATTTGAACGCTGTTCATCGGAGGTAGGGAAGAGGAGGGGATGTACCTGCAAGACACTCCGATGCCAAAGTAAGTAAGGGACCAAAGCGAAAGCTAGTACATAAGTTAGGTGTAGAGAATTGAATACCCGACCCTCTAGTGAAAGAAGATATTTATAGAGACCCCAACGCAGGGCCAACTGTCACTTGTATTGAGCTGGATTGCCAGACCCAACCCAAGTGACTGCTAGGGCTTACGTGGCGTAGTGAAGACCAGCACGTGACCTTCGTCCTAGTTCAACTGTCTCGTGATCTCTAGAAGGTGGGCTGACCGGCTCTTTCGGAGGTGGGTAGTTGCCTGATGACGTGTCCCCGCAGAGGGAGCACATGAAGAACGTGTGGAAGACGTGTTGTTCTGCCCGACAGGGGGGGGGGGAATGTCTGCCCGGTGTGTCTAGAACTGCGTCCGACACTGGGTGATTTGAGCCTTGTTGGGCCTTCTCCAAATACGTTGGGCTGGGCCTGCCCGACGGATGGAGAAGCCTGAGCCTAGTCCAGAACACAAATTAACTAAACAGTAATGGTCCGATTCCGGTTTACCCGGTTAGGATTTCGGTCCAGCTTTCGAGACCCTGAATACCCAGACCAGTCGGGACCAAAAACAGGCCTAATGATGATAAATTGACATTGTAAAACTTTAATTAATCTCTTAATTATATTAAAAATAAGGGGAATGCTATCAAGTGCCCTGAAGGCACCGGAGCATTAAATTAGCTATGGTCCCACCTATTTTATTGTGAAATGAACAACAATATGATAATAATAAGTAGCTTTAAATATGACAGTCGTGTAAATCTTTAATATTTTAATTATTAAACTTCGTCATTATTTATTTCAAAGTTAAATGGGTGGAGTCATAGCTATATTAATTCTCCTTGTGTTTTGAATAACAGAACCCTAAAAATAAATTAGTGAGTTTTCCTAAATAATAACATTAACCAATTAATTAAAATCTGATAATCTATAGAAAGTGGAAACAGGTCGATAGTTGGTAGTAGCATTCGCATTGCTACTTGATATTTCATTGGTTGAGTCTCGTTTCCTTTCGTCTTCCCGAGTAAGAAAACTGATTCATTCTTAGTGCTGCAACGCCGTCGTTTCTGTTTCCTTCCTAAATTGATGGGACTTTTCAAAAGGATAATCGGACTTCTAGGGTTATCTAAGGACGATGACAACGATCACAATTCCAAGGATGATAACCACGATCAACCCTCCGGTCAACCTCTTCCGACGAACTTTCGCGTCAGAGATGCCGGTATTCCTCGTAGAGGCTTCAGCGTCCCTGTTCAGGTTGTTCAAGATCGTCCTCAACTTGGTCCCATTCTCACACCTTCCGTCTCCGGCGACGGCGGAGTTCAGGTTACTCGTTCTTTCCATATCCGTATAATCAACAATTGTTCATATCCACTTTTGAATCCAATTAGGGAAACAGATAATTACTCCTTGTGTTTTGTGATTTGAGATTTTATTTACCAGTTAAATATGTGATATAGCTTTCTCTAACGAAAATTGGTGAGAATTAGGTGATCTCTCTGCATTTGGGACATTAACCGCCATTATGGATTATCGACTGAGTTACTGTTACTGTTGTTGTTGTTAATTAATCTGGTTACTTGAATTAAGATCAAATAACTTGCGGTTTGAATCTGAATTATTGAGAACTTAAATCATTCTAGGATTGCATTTTTTGATTGTTAGTATTTTACTTTGTCAAGATTATATACAAACGTTAAATTGTTTCCTCTTGATTCCCTATGTCTAGATAGAGTTGAAATATGATTGACTTCTAGATGTTATGTCATTCCTTTCTTGATAGTATGTTTATTGCAGTGTTGTCAATTGCAGATAACGAAAATTAGCGGTTTGTCCAAATCCTGCTACGCACCAACCCTAAGGCCTAAGCCCTATAGTGACTATTTGACAACTTTTTTTTCCTTCTAAATGCGTATCGCGTTACATTAGAGATTTGTTTTTGTTTAATTTCTGCTATGCTATAGCTGCCATTTAACAACCGTTTATGGACCTGGAGCATAATTAGGTCAGAATATGGCTAATGGCATAATGCATATCAAAATATTAAAATTGGGGGCTTCTGCACTCGTATTATACTCTATTGGATTTAGTTCATCTTTGTGTAACATCAAGTTTAATCTGCTGTGTATTTCTCTCACTTAGACCACAGGAGTGTGATGAAGCTAAAAAAATTCTCAAACCAAAACATGTGCAAGAATTTGAAAAGTTCATTATTTCAAAATATGAGTTGGTAATGGTAAAATTTAAGATGATTTGCTTTTTGCCATGCTCTGTTTCGAAAATTGGTTTGCTTTTCTGTTCCATGTCAGTAGTACCCTTTGTCCTTGTTTGGTAATCAGAAATTCTCTGAATAGCTTAGGTTTTTAGCATGTATAATTGGAGCATTGTTTGGCAATGCTTACAAATTATTGGGCAGCTTTTGTTTGTACACTCATGATCATAAGTAATATGTCTGTACATGTTAGGAAAATCGAAAAATTTGCCGTCAAGGTTTAAAGACTCAATTAACTGCAGATGATAGAGGCGTGTGAAACTTGGTTTATGTCATTTTTAGTAGCTGGTAATGGTTTGTATTCCCTATCTTCTCCAGGTTCAGTTCAGCGTGTGTTCATATGTAAATGTCTGTAACTAGTAGCTTCAGTAAGGGAGAATTTCAATGTACTTATTAATGAATCTTCAGAAAATAAATGGAAGAAAAAATCAAACTGTGGTGCCTGTTAAGCTAATATAACTAAATGTATTCATCACTTTTTGGAAATTGTTAACCACCAGTGTTTTTTTAACGGAAAATGTTAGTATTATGTTGGGGGTGTGGATTGAACTCTTAGGGTCTATTGGGAGTTTGGAGGGGAGGGCTTTGAAAAAAGAGAAGGATAGAGTGGAAAGAATTGAAGGATTTGGGTTGGGAGGATTTTGGAAGGTTTGTTTTTATTCATAACACCAAAAAATCCCCAAGTTTGGGGAAACTCAAAATTTGCATTGGAGGAGAGTTTTGGAGGGCTTACATAAATTCTTCAAGTATATTTTATGTTGTTATAATATTCTGAAAATTACAAATATAGTAATGATAAACATTCATTTATCATTCTATACAAAATCACAATTTCAAAAAATGTTACATATTTCTCTATTTTTTTCTACAAATCCACTCCCCTGAAGCCCTTCCTTCCCCTCTCTCCCAAACTCCCAAACAAAGCCTTAATCTCTTTTATCACTACACTCCTTAACTCTTCCATCCAGTCACCGAGCCAACCTTATAACTCCTGTAAATAACTAGTGTGACTTAAATATTAGTTCTTTTAATATTGGAAATACTTTTACTAAGAGTTATTAAATATTAATTCTTCTAAAAAGTTCTCATAATTGTATATATTGGTGAAAAAAAGCATTTATATTGGAACTCTGAGCTTTACTATGTAGCATGCTACATTTTTGTTTCCATTGCTACCCCTTTTTATGTTTTTCTGTGGAGTGGATGATAACTCTCTTGATTATAGAATTCACATCTTTTTGAAGTGGTGCCTCTGAATATGGTGCATACATTTTTCACTTGTCCCAATTATGTGAGCTGTATGGTTAGATAAGTTACTTATTCAAGTAATTTTCTTTTAGGAGGGGACTAATATTTCTAGGTTCTTGTGTTTTACTTCATCAGGGTCTGGGTTGGTATGCAAAGCAGCTTAGGATAGACGAAGATGGAGATATAGCAAATAAATTCCTTGACGAGGTTTCATTAGAGACTCCTGCATTTGCCGCAGATCATCATAAAGCAACGGCAAGGTTTAAACTGAAGCATGACACTAGGCCAGTTAAAGTGAAGAAACAGGTCCTGTCATCAGATGGGAAATTTCAGCAGTATGTGGAACACCAGGGAAGGTTGCAGTGGGTATAAGTAATCTCTTAGAAGTTGTTATGGCTATTCATTTGTTGTACTTTGATTGTTGTGCATATCATATGGTTGGAACCTGTAGTCAAAACGCTCATTTATGGCCGAGGCTTATTTTATGGTGTTCCTTTTTCCTCGTTGTTTAGGTCCTTTCACCAGCTATTAATATATGCTTGGGAATTACTGCATTTTGGTGAAAGTATGTCGGAGTTAAATGTACTACAATTTTAGGAAGCTTACTCAATGAGTTACGAATATTCATCTCCAAGCTATATTATGGAATCTGGGTTAAATTGTTAGTCTAGTGGTTAATAGTGGATATTTTTTACTCAACCATTATAATTGTACAAGTGAAAACAAACTTAAGAGTAAATTGTATGTTAAAATTCAGACCACCTGATTAGTCAATTAAAAAAATCCTTTGGATGTAAGCCTCTGAGCAAAAATGCAGTTTTTCTTGTCCGGAAGTATATTTTCGGAATACTGGTTTTTTTTACAAAGCATTGGAAAGAGGTAAGCTCCCCAAATTTTATTAGTGCATTGAACAAGTATTGCACAAGGCTCATTCCATTTTTGAAAATTTTCCTTCCACAGCAAAAGTGTAAAAAACCAATAAAAACCTCTTGAACAGATCCAGTTGTTAGGGGTTGTTGATGTATGACTATAGACAGTAGTAGCTGCATAAAGCGCCTAAGTTTAATGAAATTATTGCAACCAACTCAGAACAATACAAGTGGCAAGTTGTTTACACAGCCACATGGTGAAATCTCAGCTTCAAATGGATGCATGAAGTCATGGAGAAGTTGGAAATGCACGAGAGAACTGCTCACTAGTACAACAAAATAAAATCAAACTCCCAACTGTTTGAGGACAACATATTAAGTCAAAAAGTAAGGCTAATAAGTAGACAGTTCACACGGCTGTTTCTTTTTATCGATTCCAAATTATGTTCTCAGTTTTTTTGCCCGTGAAAAGCAAACAAGTCAAAACTCAAGAAAGTAATCACACTGTTATTGATCATTTATGTTAAACGGCTACAACAATGAGTGGATGCAACTAAGTAATTGAACTTAATGAACTCTAATTAACCTCGGATCGATGTATAGAATTTGAGTTCAAATTCTAGTTTCAATGATAATTTGTCAGACTTTACTTTACCTCCCCGAACAATGAGTGAATGCGGCCGTGATATGTGCATTGTACTATGAGTATAAGATACTGGTTCTGACTGCAATAGTTATTTATTTATATTTATGTATTAATATAAATTAATTATTGATATTTATAAATCATCAACATTTAAAAGAAAAAACTTTGCATTGTACTTTTCTTTTTATTGTACGTGGGATTGGTCGTAATCACCTTAATTGCTATGGTGAGGAAAATTTCAAGCATTCTTTGCCAATTTTTAGTGGTATAGCGCGTTCCCTCCAAATACTGATTTTCATCAAAGTAAACCATGACAAAAAAATCCTCAAGGTTATAAGTAATTATTCACCACAAAAAAATAAGTATATACTTAGTATACATAATTTGGAGTTCTACCCTTTCATAAAGCAATGACTTTAACTATCACTTTAATGGATTACACGTGAATGTTAAAATGACATTGCCAACTTCTTCCTACCCTTTAACAAATATAAATTACAAACATGCTTCTTCAACAAAAACCGGGACTTCTAACTAGAAATGTTCCCAATAGTGCATGTTGGAAGTGGCAAAGAAATGACAATGGGTGAGAATGAGAATGAAAAAATCATTGGAAAGTGGAACAAAAGTGTGCATGTTTTTGGTGAGAGACTAAAGAGATATCCTAGTTTAGGTTGGAAGGTTATATGGAATGTTGGATATGAAGACCCAAGAAGGGTGATCCATGCATTTAAAGTTGGTTTGTCTCTCACTTTAGCTTCTTTGTTGTATTTGTTGGAGCCAATTTATAATGAGATGGGACAGAGTGCAATTTGGGCTGTCATGACTGTGGTGGTTGTGCTTGAGTTCACTGCTGGCAAGCTTCTTTCTTTGATCTCAATTCATTTCTTTTATATGTAGTTAGTTTTATTTTATTGTATGAACCGATTATGCAAAGTCACTTAGATATGACATCAGAGCCTATTTAAGATCTATTGAACCATCTGTTATCAGGTTTCCGTTATTGGGCCAACCACTATCTGTGGCCATGCATCAAACCTAATAGTGTTGATGTTTGACTCACCACCATTAATCCTGATGGACTTATAGAACTTGGGCTTAGATCATTACAGTTGAGCATGAGTGTGTGTGTTAACGAGTCCCACAGCGAATGAGATATGATATGTAAATATATTTATAAGTGGAAGAAATCTTTACCTTACCAGTCGGTTTTGTAAGGTTGAGTTAGACTCAGCCCAAATTCTAAGATGGTATCCAAATATATTTATAAGTGGACGCAATCTTCACCTTACAGACCATACTCAACCTTATTTGACGACCTTTATTTTTCAAACTTTTATTCATTTTTGATGGCAGGGGCAACTTTATGCAAAGGTCTTAACAGAGGATTGGGCACACTAATAGCTGGACTATTGGCATTCATGGTTGGATATATTGCAAATGCATCATCTGGTAGAATCTCTCAAGCTGTTATCATTGGTGCTGCAATTTTTCTTATAGGTACACTAGATACATTTAGACCTTAACAAGTAATTTTTTTATAACAGTGACAAAAAAACAAGTTTGTGATGACTAAATATTATTCTTAATATACGGTTTCATGCGGCTTTGTTATTGCAGGAGCTTTAGCTACTTATATGAGATTCATTCCTTATATAAAGAAGAACTATGACTATGGTCTAGTTATATTTCTCATGACTTTTAATTTGATTGCTTTGTCAAGCTATCGTGTGGAAAACGTCTTGAAGATAGCACACGATCGCTTATTCACTATTGCCGTAGGTTGTGCCATTTGCCTTATAATGAGCCTGTTGATGTTTCCAAATTGGTCAGGAGAAGATCTCCATAATTCTACTGCTTTCAAGCTTGAAGGCCTTGCCAAATCTATTGAGGGTATGCAAACTTTTAGTTAATCGTGTTAAAAAATTTCAATTTGCTTTTACCTATGTAGCACTGACGCTTCAGCTTAAAGGCGTGTCTGACATCAACCATGTATCAGATGACAGACAATTGGTAATGGCGTCACACACTTCAGGTTGAAAGTGTGTCTGGTATCTGATATGTGTCTGTGTTAGGCACCAATACACACCTACATATATAGATTCCATTTGATTACTTCAGTTTATCGATGTCTACATGTTAGTAATCAGTGTTATATCTGGTGGTGGTACATGTATCAGTGCTTCATAGGCTTTTTTTATAAGGAAAGTCTTACTCTTTTATAATCCATATTTTTTTTCCACATGAAAAGCAAATTATCATAATATCATACCTTGTGAATTTTACCTTGTAAATCTAAATCAACACATAGTCAAGGTAAAATCTTGCAGCTTGTGTCAATGTATACTTTTATGGCGAAACCGATAGCCCTGGAGATAGCAGCTCGTCCGAGGATCCGATATACAAAGGTTATAAGAATGTTTTGGATTCAAAATCTATTGATGAAATGCTGGTTAGTTTCCATGTGTCATATCTAACTTCATTTTAATACATCTTATATTTTACGTAGAACCGAAATAAATCTTATATTGCTTCTGTTTCGACTTAACCAAGGCATTGCATGCAAGTTGGGAGCCAAGGCATTCTAGGTACTGTCACAAATTTCCATGTCAACAGTACGTAAAAGTTGGAGCTGTTCTTCGCCAATTCAGTTACACCGTGGTCGCTCTACATGGTTGTTTGAGATCAGAAATTCAGGTAACTCAAGATTTCTGCCGTTGCAATTCCGGAGACAAAAATGATGATTTACTCATTCTAATCCTATTGAAACTATTGTTTGTATTCATTATTACTTTGAAAATTTGAATTTAGACACCAAGATCAGTAAGAGCCATGTTTAAGGATCCATGCATAAGGGTTGCAGCAGAAGTATCGAAAGTATTGATAGAACTTTCCAACAGCATAAGAAACCGTCGCCATTGCTCGCCCGAGATACTGTCTGATCATCTTCACGAAGCTCTGCAGGATCTCAACAACGCGATAAAGTCTCAACCTCGTCTCTTCTTAGGCTCGAAGCACAAACACAACCATGCAAACAACATGCTCAAAATAGCCGCTGCGCAAGTTGGTCAACAAGTAAAAGCCTCTGGATTCTCTTTATCGAGTGTTAAAACCGACTCTTCCGCGTTGCTTGAATGGAAAACAAAAAGAGATTCGTTAATGCAATCGAAGGAAAACGAAAGAAAATCTTTGAGACCTCAATTGAGTAAAATTGCTATTACTAGTCTTGAATTCTCCGAGGCGCTTCCTTTTGCTGCTTTTGCATCTTTGCTTGTGGAAACAGTTGCGAAATTGGATTTTGTTATTGAGGAAATTGAAGAACTTGGAAGATTATCTTGCTTTAAAGAGTTTAGAGCTGGTGATGAGATTGTCGTGACTTGTGAGGAACCTCGAGTTGATGTTTCGCGGAACAACTTACCTTCACATGGAATCGAATAGACTAAGTAACAGAAACATAATCTTTATGGTCTTTCTAATTTCATTTTAGTAATTGTTCACTACAATGTAAACAAATTTTTAATTATATTTCGTCATCTCATTGAAACATTGTTGAATAATTTTTAAGAAGATATGATACTTTTAAAGGAGCTTTAGAACTGTATTGTCTTATCAACTTTAAAAGCGAAATTCATCTTTAGCTTTAGTTTAAATTAAAGAGAACACATCACTGATAAAAGATAAATTGCGGTTATCGTAACTAAAAGTAGAAACATGAGTCTTACTTTGTCCACAAGCATAATCTACTTCATCTGTAATAAGTCCTCATTCATTCATTAAGCTGGTTCTATGAATCCACACATATAATAATACAGAAAACCGATATAAACCAAATTCGGGTGAAATCTAAAAAAGTGATGTAACCCGGAAAACCTACACAACATAATAATACAATACAAATCGACTAAGTGAAGAGAAGTTCAAGAAGTGGATAGTATCTGTCTGGTGCATATGAAAGGATTGGACTCATTAATCATGGCTTATCACTCAAAGACGGACATAAAAAGGCGTTGTCTCAGAGATCCCTTCTAGAGTTCTAATTCCTCACATAAACTCTCATTTGATTGCAAATTGGACCTTCATCCTAAATTAAACATCTTGTAACTTGTAATGCAAGAAAAGAAGGAGAAAGTTATTCTTATTCCTTTTTTTCTTTTCAGAATTGGTTTGGATCCCTAAATGAAGGAATTTGATCATAGCATTCATAAGGCAAGTCCATGAAGCTTCCTTGTCCTGTGTAGGGTGAAATGCAACCGATTCGACTAAGAGTGTCAGAAAATTCAATTTCCGTGTTAAAGTTTGAGTAGGATGAACATGGTGAGATTTCAGTATGTTCAAATGATTGCCAAGGTGTCATTGAACTCAATAAGTCATGTTGTTGTGGGAAACATCCATCAAGATCTTTTACCGGAACTTGAGAGTAGTCCTAAAAATCGGAAGAGGAAAAATGTAAGAAGAAACATCTTTAACTAATATCTACCTATTATGTCTTGATTCTCAAGTTTACTTTTCCGTCTTTTATAATAGTACCTTTGAAGAATCGAGAATCATGTCAGGGGAGAGCCAGAAGGTTGAAGGATTGGTATCAGAGGAAGCTTGCTCAAATCCAGCCATATTAGGCACATTGTTTGGGAAATTAATCGGACTCGAATAATGACTCTCATTGCCACTGCACATTTGACTTGCCTGACAAGAAACCTCATTCCCATCGGTGGAAATGGAATTGCTCCCATCATTAGCTTTAACCCTCTTTCCTCCATGCCCTTGGGAATCATTCGCCTTCTCATTCTTTTTAATAACTCGGCACAAAGCAAAAGCACCCTACAAAATGACCGATAAGGTATTTGACATGGAAGCGACAATGTTTGACAAAGTCAAGTTTCAGGTAGTTTCTGTCGCAAAATCTAACATACACTAAAAAGAGAGCTTTACCTCTGAGCCTTGGCTAGGATCATCATTGAGACGATATTCGTGCATGACCCAATTGGTTCGATCACCTAAAGGCGCTCTTCCACAGTAGAAAACCAGGGTCTTGCGGTAGCCCGTGACAGTCTCCGTGGAAATGAATGGACTAGCCTCACACACAACCTTTCTATCTTTCCCTGTGGCTTTCCAGTAGCCAGCTTTGGTGGCTCTATTTGTTCTCGATCCATTCGGATACTTGCGATCGCGTGGACAGAAGAAAAACCATTCCATGTCTCTTTTTGGTAGGAAAGATTTCTCTGCATAAATTCCACAACCCCACAAATTAAACTTCTCATAAATTTCTTTAACAATTTCTTCTTAGTATTTCCAACCTTTGACTAAAAAATCCTATTAAACCGGCTTTTACAGCCTTAAAATTTTCAAACATTAATCAATAAAAGGAAAAGTAACAAAAAAACAAAACAAGAACTGTTTTCTACTTTCTGTCTTTCTCATAAAGTCTCAGTTCACACTACCATGAAAGTTTTTGTTTTTGTTTTAAAGTAGTACACACTAAATACACATGTTATGCAACCATGCAAATGATCAACATGTGAAATTAAAGATGAACCTACCAGGTAACTCCCATGGATCAAATTTGTAGAAATCAACAACAGGTATAACTTCAAGCTCAATTTCAAGTCCCTCAACTTTTCTTTTCAGGTAATATCCTATCAGTTCTTCATCGGTTGGATGGAAACGAAAACCCGGCGGCAACGAAGCCCCTCCCATTCTATATTTCTATGTTCCTTACTACTATTAAAAGAGAAAAAAAAAACAGGAGTGAAACTGAAATTATCTAGGACAATGTACTAGGTACCAAGAGTACTATACCTATCAAAAATCTGAAAAATCCAAAAATAGAAACTTTTGTATACAATATAGTTTTTATCAAGAGTTAAATGACATTTCAACAGTGTACATCCATTATGTGCCAGAATCATTGTAATAAAAGAAATTCAAGTCCTCTTATTATGAACCTATTTCACCCCCTAAAGAAAATAATGAACCAGACTAACTCAACTGCAGAATTGAAACTTGAAAAGTAAAAGCTTTACAAAGGCCAAAAGGTTGTTGAAGTGTGTTTGATGATAGGGAGTGATAGAAGAGAGAGTAGAGGGAAAGAATGTGGAGAGTGATAGTGTGGTATATATAGTAGGATTTGGGAAGGGAACACATAGTCCAAAATTATACACAGAGACACCGAAAGTTGGTTTCAGAGTTGAGATTGCTTGTCCCAAGAGGACCCAAAATTCCAAAGTAAAATGGCCCACCACTTTCAAAGTTGAAACCTGTTCAGTGTTCACACCTAAAAGTTCAAGTTTATTTGCTGTTTTTGTTTTCTTTCTTTCCAAGAGGTATGGACTATTTCATCACAACCTGAGTTGAACAAACAAAGATTCAATAATTGAGAATTTTTTTTAGTAAAGAGATATGATGAAGGCAAACAGCAACAAGCTGTGTGTGTACCGCTACTTCTTTTTGGATATTATGATAAACTATATCGATTAATCTAAGAGACACAAAATTACTATGCATGAGCCTTTGGACAAGATTCAGCGCCTCTAATGCTAGGAAACCAAAAGTATCAAAGGCAAATGGTATGAAAGCATGCTGATTGTCGGAACACGTTTTGACCACTTTATTTATTTGAAGGGCTGCTACACTTTTTCGTATTTGACCACTTTACTTAAAGGAGTTTTGAGGGCTGCCACGCTTTCTCGTGTTTGACCGCTTTACTTGAAGCGGTTTTAAGGACTCCCTGCTCTATAGTAAAACCTCCATTCTTCAGTTCTACCAGTGGGAAAACCCTAATCAAGTTCACAAATGCATGTTTTCCTCCTACTCAACCGTACACCAGAACGCCTGACTCAGAAATGATTTCTACTTATACAATATTAGGAAAACATTAGCTACCTCTATAAATTGTTAAGTGAAAATGTATGTAAGGAAAAACATTAGAATTATTATATTTTGCTTACATTTTAAACTTTTATAAGTTATAACTATGATACATGTTGTACAAAGCAAAGCAAGTTAATTTGCTCACAAAGTTCTTATGGAATATGGGATTCCTTGTCTATGCCATTACCCTAAAGATATTTCCATGTCATCCTGAGTCAGATTGAACACTTTACCTTCTTTTTTTATTCAGATGATTGTGTCATCAAGAGGGTCCAACCTTCACAAAAGGAAAATCTCCAAAAGTGTTTCATGAGTTTTTAAATTTTTTTAGAGGTTCTTTTCTTCTCATGAATTCACATTGAGGTGTTAAACTCATGTTAGTGGGACCAACCAAGAGCTTGTTGCTGATCAGTAAAGAAAGTAGAGTGAATAATTAGTGGAATGTTTTTCATGAATAAGAGAAAAAGAACAAAAGGTTAAAACTAAAGCTTGCTTTAACACCTCATTTTGTTGTGATGTTTGGGATAGTGAAAATGTAAAGCAAGATATGTAAGATGGTTGAGGTTAAGATTAGGAAACACTAAAGCTTTTGCTTTTCAACACTTGGAAATGGAAAAAAGTAGAAGGACTTATACACTAAATTATTTTCTCATTATTAATTAATGAGCAGTAAGTTATTGGTTTGGTTTGAACGTTAGTGTAGTTTCCTTTGCTTAGGTGGGTTGGTAGTTTCAAAATAGACAAAGCAGCAATGAGAGAGGGTGACATATATGTTCCTTGCCACATTTTTAGAAGATAAAAAGGTGAAAGGAACTTAAATGTGTTCTCTTTGCTTGATGTGATTCCTATTTTGTCTTTTATTGTATAGCTCTAGTTTTTTTAACCCATTGGAGTTTTGCATTCACACTATGAATGTTAGAAAGAAGGAAAACAAAAATTATAATCACAAGATCATTATTTTAAAATAGATGAAAAATTATTGTCCTAATGTTATGCAAAAATTATTATAATATATAAGTTATTCTAAAACAATTTTACAATTTTAAATATTCTTATGATTTCTCGTACTTACACTATTTAGTAATGTTCTCAATAAACACTTTTGAATAGTCTTTCTGAAGAGAATTAGGGGAGAACATAAACGTAAGAAGATCTTTAGTGTTATTTGATAGATTATATGTTATTCCCTCTTCTCTTTATAGGAAGCCTTTTTATATTCATCTTACTCCCAAAGTTCAATAAGAAGTGACTATTCAAGTTCCATGTTTAAATGCTAGTCATAATGTCCGCCACTTTCATTATTATCATGTAACGTCTTCTTGATCACTTTTTATAAGCCTCATGAGACTTTAGAGCTACCTTATAATTGTTACGCCGATTTGTGCATGTTGTTCGAGAATGCACTTCTAATAACCATACTGCTCAGGCTTCGACTTGTTTCATCTGTAGCAATTCAACACTTGTCTTTCTCTACAAGTATTCAACATACTGACTCTTCATGCTCGGCCTTAGTGACTTATAACTCGTCTTCGAGAATTCCGGGATGTATATAATCCCCCCGAGCATGAGGTCTAATGAGATGAAGTGTTCAGATAGAGAGTCCTGAAATTCTTTTCTCCTTGATTTACGTCATATTTATGTCCAACGGTAACTTTTATGGTCCGCTAATGTCTGAGAGTGGATTTTTAAAGAATAATAATGGTGATCATCTTGTCATATTTCTTCTCTTTTCCAGTCATGATGACTTTTATGGGAAAATCAATCGTTATCATGACTCTAGTTCAATAGGGTTTCCAGACTGTTGTAAAATTCATTTCAGTAAAACCCCTATCTTCGTTGTTTCTTTTCTCATCATTTTTGATTCTCATCCCTTTTTCTTCAAGATCTGTTGACCAGGTTTTTGCGTTTTATGCCAATCGCTTTTGCAAACGCAAGTCTCAAGTATTACTTCTTTACTTTACTTAATCTTACATAATTCTTTTATCATGAGAGAGAGAAGAGAACTCTAAATGTATCTGTTTATTAAGGAGAGAGAAGAGAACTCTGGGATGAATGCATGAAAGAGTGAGAGGGCCATCTGGGGCAAGCAGAATTTGATCTGATTATTAAGGAAGTTTATGGTGACATTTCTTCACCTTGTAGTGAAACTGATTCGGAATCTTCTTCTTCAGGTTATGTGGATACTTTGATGGAGATGACAAGATCTCTTATTGACAAGAAAGTCCTAAACTGTGACCACAACACACTTGACGACAACTTACATTTCAAAACTCTGATCTAACATACATATTTCTTCAACCGGGAATGAAGAAGATGTTGTGCTAGAGCCTTGTGTGATTGGTGAAAAAGTTTGCATCACTCGAACAAGAGGAGTTCCAAACGAATATTTTTATTTCTATTCAGGGGCAATTGAGAATTTTTAGATTTGTATCCCTTTCACTGATTTTGAATCCGATCTCCTTAAAATCCTAAACATCACCTCTTCACAATTGTGCCTCAATGGCTGGGATTTTATCAAAGCTATTGTACTTGTTTGTAAGGCATTAAACATAATCCCTACTTTAGGTTTGTTCTTCTCTTGGAGGTTGGGTTTCCCTTAGTGGAATCTCAGGAAAACATTTCCTCCAAGTTTATATTACCAACTACAAGGGCTTCAAAGATAAGTTTCTTCGAGTAAAAAGTGGGAAAAGATGTCCCCAAGTTATGCATGTGTTGGATGGGGATCACTGCTTCCCGATTTACTAGACGAATAATTCTCTGCCAATGTCCAACTTTGACTATGACAAGCTAGATGCTTTGGAAATCCGAGCTTTAGCTATTCTGGATGCCTTCCGTGTAGTAAAGGCCAAGGATTTAGTGAACATGGCCGATGATCCGAAACAAATCTCTAACTTCTTGGGTAATGCTTATATGTCTATTATTAAACTATATCAATCTCTTTATCTCATTTATATGATTTTAGGTTCTCATTATTTGTTTATCTGGAATGACAAACCTAAAGTTGACGGAACAAAAGAAGCTAAGTGAGGACGAGACGGGGAGAACAATCTGACTTAAAGTCCGACTTGTCTGGCATCTAGACTCGTGCCCTTAATAAAAAGAAATCAGATGTTAGGAAAGCAGCTCCAACTATTTCGGAGCCCTAAACTGCCTACCTTCCCCCTCTTTGAAGTTCTAAGCCGATTTCCCCTAAGAGGATGAAAACTTTGATGGGTAACCCTGTAGGTCATGCCAGCCTAACAGTCACTACCCTGATGCAGGATTCTGGCGGCAATCACAAATCCAATCCGTCAACCAAATTCAATTTTTGGTCCAATAGTTTTGATGGCTTGAAGTATGTTTATGATTATTTGAATGCGACGACAGACATAAAGATGGTGAAAACTATATGTGCTCAAAAGCTAACCCAAAATATTGGGGCCTACCTGATGATGTGTGTCGTTCTAACCCGAAGATTATTTAAAGTTGGTGATGCCCATTAGCAGAACAAAATTTGTCTCACAAAAGAGATAAACCAATTGAAGGATATCCTGAAAGTGCAGATTGACAAGGTGGAAGATCTGAACAAATAGTTGTTGGAAGTAAAGAATCAGAAAGAAACTCGGAATCCAAATGTTTGGAGCCTGAATCAACCACAACCAAGTTGACTCAAGATGTGGATCAGGCTCGAGAAATTAATCAGACGCTGAAGAAATCCTTTAAAGAGGCCCAGGTAGACCTTCTTTCAACTCACAACGAGGCTTTTGAGAGAGCTAAAGCTCAAGCGCTATGCCTAAAATCTGACCTTAATGTGTCAGAGATAGATTTCTTCAAGACCGTGGTAAATG